TCTGGCCCAAGTTCCTGGAAGCGCTCGATAGCTTCATGGAATTTTTGAGGATTGCGGCCATCAAGGAGGAAACGAGCCATTGAGTTCCACCATAGTTGCCGCCAATCAATGAAACATGCGGTGTTGTCAGTGCAGTATGGTGAATGCGTGACAATGGGTGGCTCCTCGCAGGCAACAATATGGTTATGCTCATCGAGAAGTTCTTTTAGATCTACGAAGGCATTCCAGACTTCAAACCCAAGTCTCCTTCGCACTGGTCCTGGAATATCACGGATGCGAAATTCGACGAGACGGCGAAAAGCGGGAACAAAGAACTTTGAAATTGAAAATTCGAGGCAGAGTGCGAGAAGTTCGTATGGTTTGTGTTGAAATCGACGTTCATGGAGGTGATTGATGGCGACATCACGAGCCTTTTGACTCATGAACTTGTTGCTGAAACGAAGAAGGTCGAGGACATCATCATGAGTGGGACCTTCGGGTTTCCAACTGCGTAGTCCTACATTTAGAATAAATGCAGTACCTCAAGAACTGTCTTACCTGTTGTATGCAACTGAGAGGAACAGTTCGAACATATTCATGCTGAGTTCGGGAATGATAATTGGATGATCATCGCTTGAGCCTTCCATGCCTACTGTCAGCGGCAATTGACTTCCAACAGAAAACATCTCCTCAAACACAATGGATGTGCGTGATAATTGAGTTGCATGGACCTTGAACAATGCATTTTCAACCTGCATTTTGACCGTTAGTCTACAGTATTGTCAAATGAAAACATCTGACCAAGAAAATATGAGTACCATCGAGTATATAGAAACGGCGGTGTCGAAACCTAAGAAGACTTGGGGCCCCAAACATGATGGTCTGCAATTGAAGTTTGAATTCAAGTCGGAGCACAAAGGACGTAAATGTAGTGTACCGCTTTATCACCTCTATTCACCAACCATGGATCTTCCAGCTCTACCAGAACACGAGAATCGATGGCCACAAAATGTCTATACTGCGGAGGGTATCATCAGCAATATATACAATGCTGCAATTAGAATACTTCGGTCAAATGACGCAGAACCAACCAGAGTGGCGTACCACTATGATGCACTGTCCACAGAGGCCCTACCTTTGCTTGAAGCCATTGAAAGTGATACAAGTCCTGCTGATTACCAGCTTCTGCATGACTGGCTACTAGTATGTGCTAGGCTTATTGGGGAGGTAGCCGCAATGCTCAAGGATATCAGCGGAAATCTTCATGTGTAAGTCTTTCACTTGCCTGACACTCTGCTATCTAAATATACTTCAATCCAGGGGAAATGCTGAACGGGCAAATGTGATAATCCCGGAGCTTGTGACTCTGGGCCATCAGCAATGTCGACTTGGGCGTCGGAAGAAAATCATTAACTTCGATTTCGTCAGTAAAGCCCTATCTAACCAACACCACATCATGCTGCCAGATCTCGCACGAATCCTCCAAGTGTCCCGCACTACTCTGTGGAAATTTATTCGTCAACATGGCCTAGAAAAACACTTTACAGTAATTAGTGATGCTGATCTCGATCAACTTGTGAGGACTTTCAAAGAAAGTAAACCAGAATCAGGATTCCGGTACCTTGTTGGCTTCCTTCGACGCCAAGGTTTTCGAGTTCAGCAGCATCGCATTTGGCAGTCCCTGCGCAGAGTTGACAGGCTGGGACAAAGGCTGAGAGAACGACGTGTTACCAGAAGACGAAAATACCGAGTCGCTCGACCAAATGCACTATGGCATGTAGATGGTCATCACAAGCTCATTCGATGGGGCTTCGTCATCCATGGTTTCATTGACGGGTATTGTCGCACTGTAAGTCAATTAATTTATAAAAGTGACAATACACCTTATGCACCAACAGATAACAGCACTACGAGTCAGCACAAATAATCGTGCATCAACTGTGTTGGATTTATTCATCTACGCAAAGGATGAATATGGCATCCCATCTCGTATTCGTGGAGATCGTGGCGGCGAGAATATTCAGGTTGCCACACACATGATTGCGACAAATGGTCACAATCGTGGCTCGTTCCTATGGGGATCGTAAGTGGAGTCCTCTAGAAATTTACTTGAATAATAATGCATGTTAGATCAACACGGAATTCTCGCATTGAACGATTGTGGGTTGAAGTAGGCACACAGTTTGTACGCCGGTGGCGGGGATTCTTTACCAGGCTCGAACGACTTCATAAACTCGATGTTGACAAGCCTGGGCATCTGTGGCTCCTCAGTGTGCTCTTCTTAAATGCGCTCAATGATGATTGTCGACAATTTCAACAAGAATGGAATTTGCATCCTATTCATGGTTCTGATACCAGGGATCGAAGCCCTCAGGTCAGTGAATATTCAGTAGTGCAGAATTGTTATCTCATAACTATGAAGGATATGCGCCTTCTAGGACAGGCATCATTAGGTATCTATGAAGACGAGTTCGAGGGTATCTGTCCTACAGTTCTGCAGCGCTATTATGGTATTCATGGCCGGGAGGTTGTCCGTCATCGAAATCAGACAGGTGCTGGCCACCCAAGTGACGAGGCAGATGAACCAGCCGAAGATGATATTATTGACCGCATTGAGCAGGAACAAGCAAATGATGTCCAGCATGATGCTGTAGAGGTTCCAGACAGCAATACTCCTTTTCGGAACGAAGAGGATGAAAGTATGTTCTTCGAAATACTTGAGGCGGTTGTCATGGAGGGTATTGTACCGGAGGGATACAATTTACGGGAGGGTGAAGATGAGTATGACGAAAACACAAGTGAATACCTACGAGTTGGAAGGCGGAGGGAGCATCATGTGGAGATATCATTGGCTGACCCTATCTGGAGAACTCGCTCAACATTATGGGCTCAGGCATCTAGCGTTCTTGATCACTTTGAAGCAAATGAATTTTTTTGAGTCGCTTAAGTAGTACTTTACAAAATTCGGAGGGACCCAGGACCATTGTATACAAATTCCGCACCTCGCCGACTAATTTGTGTTCTGGTCCTCTCCTCCATCTCACTTAGAATGCCGAAGCCAGCATTTTGCAAGGGCAATCCTGATGAATCAGTACCCTGCTATTGTGAAGAGTACTCGGCACCCACCAATATTCCAGTTGGCCAAAAAGAGCTTTGCGCTGAATGTTTGCATGGGAAGAGCAAACATCCGCGACCTCAACCACCTGTACTGCCAGTGGCTGAGCTACCAGCAGTCACTACTGCAAAGGAACGAGCTGGAGTGACAGCTATATTCAAGCAATCGCTCGCTCGACGAGCTGGACAAGGTAGTCAGAATACAACTACTGTGACGGCTGCGAGAGATGAGGTGATGGCAGGATTTCGCCCAACTGCAAAGCAGAAATTCCCAGTGAGTAATTTACCTAACTTTTGCGTGTTCGAAATGACTGGTATTGCCTAGGGCAGGATTGTATCCTCGAGACAGGCCAGCTCTTCAAAGCAAGGTCATGTCCTGATCAAAGTTGGTGCCATTGCCGTCTTGGTCAATTACCTTGATGTATGTTAGTTCGAACAAGCTATGGCTAGTATGAGCTTACCGGTGACTGAAAGGACAAAGGAGAGTTGTTGACCACAATTCCGCCTGTCAAGACAGAGATGTCAAAGTTCAAGCGAAGGGGATGTGCTCACTTTGATGGAGATCAGTCTGAGGACGGCGGCAGTGTGGATTTCAGCTTTTGCTTGGACTGGACATTTGAGGAAGTTGATGCTTACATTCGAAGACTATTTCCAAAAGTCTTTGAATACCTCGACTCTGTAAAGGTTGGTGATGTAAAGGGGAAGGCTACAGACAATGGGGCATCTGAATGGGTGTTAATTTCAAAAGAGAACCGCAGGCTGAGTGTCGCACCTGAGCCCTTCCCAACTGGCAAACATCTCGAGCGGTACAAAGGCAGAAGCAATGCCCCACTTCAACAGACAAATATTTTTATCGGTGAGTCATTAATAAATTCGTCCTAAATTTTCTAATCAGTGTATGCACAATGATAGGTATCCGGAAATTCATACCTGAGCATACTTATGCACGCTGGGACCCAGACATGGTCATTATCGATATAGCTGATGACAGCGATGATGGTGACGACGGCGATGACAACGACCATAAACAAGAGTATGGCCTGGGGCTTAAAATCGAAGACAATGTATTCACTCAAGTTCCAAAGATTGGTTAGTCTCACGTGCACACTCTCGAGCGCAGCGCTGTGTTTAAAATTCATTGTGTTACTTACTTCAGTGCGTCCAAAACGCCCAATGCAACGTGGAACCCGTCAAGAACCAGCCCAGAAGAAAATGCGTGGAAGTAAGTACTACCATTTAATTGTATGGGAACACTACTGACACATAATATTTAAAATCAGCTCATGGACGGCCCATTGCATCGAAAACGGGGAACAAGTCGGGAAGATCCTCAGGCAAAGTTGAACGTAAGTGTCGAGTTTTTATTTTCTGGCAGAAGTCAAATGTCTAACACTTGGAATTTACAGTTTTCTGTTCAAGTGACTCTGATACGGACAACAGTCTCAACGCCCTTCCAGCTAGTCTGAAAGGGATGTCAATCTCACCACTGACTCAGAAACGTGCTCCACGCCATAATCCAATGATGCCATTGATCAAGGACGAAGAACACCAGGATATCGACCTGCAAGACTTCGCAAAGGCTCAGACTCATGTGTCCGCAATGCCCCTACCTAATCGGCCACTCTTCCAGCCTCTCGTTTCGGTCCAACCTACACTGAATGACCTGTTGCGCGGCCACCCAGATGTCAATGATCCATTGTCACGTCCGTTCCACAACCCCTGGACGACGGACTACTTCATTGGCTCTATCAAACTTTGGCTTTAATTTGTGCGAACGTCTCATCATCCCATTTAATTCCCCTCACTCCTTTGAATCCTATGTCATTTGCCCTTTAATCTTCCTCACTCGTTTTAATCCTTCATCCTGAGCCCATACTACTATTATACTCTTATTTTAATTCCTATCCCGCCAACTTATTCTTCATTAAATGCTGGTTGGTTTATTTGAAAAAATCAGTTTATCAGTTTATCTCACACATCCTCGCCTTCATCGTTGCATCCGATGGCATTGTCAATGAAAATCTCATTGAATTTTTCGCCAACTTGCTCTTAGCCGTGTCCGTCTCCTGGCTCAAGAAGCGCGGTCTTACATTCTCGTCAGCCACAAAGAGGGTATGTACACCAATTTTGCATCAGCATGTTCCAATTGCGCGAAATTAACCAGATGGAGCGCGAGATGTACTTACATTCTTCCCTCATCATCTAAGACAACCCATCCTCCTACTACGAATCCCTTCCCACCTCCTCCAGCCGCTTTGGCACCTACACCCACATATGGTCATCATTATCCTTCGCCACCAAAGCCAGCTTTCCCTCCACTCAATTCTTCCTACATCACACCACCCACATTGCCGGACACGCCATCACCAGGTTATTCAACATCGACATCAACAGCATCAACAGCATCTCCTCCAACGCCCCCAGGTATGAAGGATTGTACGGCTCACATCGTTTCAGCTTCGTCTTCACCAGGTATCCCAAAACACGAGCCAGTACCAGTACCACCGCCATTAAAGCACAAGATGTTCGCGTTCGCTTCACCGCTGGACCTGCCATCAGCGCGCTGATCTCATAGGCCAGGGAGACTCGAAACTTTGGCCGCTTTGCTTTCGGTCATCAGAAGTGTTCAATTTTCTTCAATACAAGTGAGATTTTGCCGGAAATGCGCCTGTAGTACTGAATATATTACAATACTACAATACATGTGTGTGTTGAACTACTGTGTGTGTGTCGTATGCGTGTGTGTGTGTGACTTAAGTGTGTGTACATTTTTGAACTGATCCAGCGCCATAGATAACCAACTACGCCATCAGACCGCCGATACTTCGAAGCCAAGGAATTTAATTATGCCAGAACTTTCAACAATAAACGATAAATAAATTAGCTGACTACGCTACTGATGTAACTCAGGTACTACATACAGAAGTGCCTCCTCAGCTCTTCGAAATACATCATGATCATAGCTATTATGAATGTGACTGCAAATGCCGCAAATGTCTAGGCAAATCAAACACACGCTCAGCCTTTCCGACCATCGGATTCATAATACGCTTGTACATCCCCCAGATTTACGCTGCCAAACGAATACTTGCAACGTGCCATGCGTGCACTATTTTTGTCGCCAGCCCAGTGGTTATTTGATCTGCTGGTTGAATCGCAGGTAAGTTCCCAAGCAATAGTGAGTCTGGTGCAAGGGCCACACTAAAGTGTCGTCAACGAACAAGTGCCATGCGGGGTGTAGATAAATATCTGTTGTTTGAACAGTGGTTTTTGCTTCACAAAGAAGCATGGAAGTTATATCAACCACTTCCTGCGACGACTTGTTGCACGTTTCCACGAAATGACGACACTTGGCAAATAGATGGTGTGGCGTTTCGAGATACTCACACCCGAACTGACACCACAGTGATATGCTTCCCATGCGGGCAAATCGCACACTTGCAGAGTCCAGTTGGCGTGATCTCGCATAGAGCTGTACCAGCGCTGTACGGTATGCGTACAGCGTCCGCACGTAAGGATGATCCGGTGGCGCATGCAAGTCATAAAGAGGCAGCGCGAGGGTATGACCAGGTACGACGTGGAGTGCGTTTGGAGAGTATGTGAGAAAGCAAAGATGGCAATGGGCTTTCAATAAACTTCGATGAAGGGGAGTATAGAACAAAACTGTCCAATCCAAACGTAGCACAGTGCTGCTTGCACGTGTAATTATATAAGTCACTGGCAAGTGCTTACTGCGTGCGTCAGCTCAAGTTGAGATGCGCCTCGATGCAGCCTTCGGAGTGGTCACAGACCTACGTCTTGGCTTTGTCGGCGGCCTCTGGCCTACGATTATAGCAATCTGGCATGTTTCCTACTTACTCTTCCAACCTCTTGAGATATCCCGCATTTTCATGTCCCATGGGACCTCTATGGTGATAGCGCTGACGAAGCCGGAAGGGCGGTCAAAAAAGGGCTCATCACTCCACACGCCTATGGCGTTGTGCTAGACCTCGGTGCAGGTGCGTCTCTTCTTCCACCGAAATGATAATCTGTTTATACAAAAGACAGGACACGGCCACACCGTCAACTACCTCGACCATTCGCGTGTTACGAAATACGTAGCTGTAGAACCCAACGTGCATATGCATGCAAAGCTGCGCCGTACTGCCTCTGCTGCTGGGTACAACGAAGATAATGGAACACTTCTCATCCTCCCTTGCGGTGCTGAAAATATCTCTACCACCCTTTCCTATCTTCCTGCGCCGCACCCACCTGTAGACACACTCATATCTGTCCTCACTCTCTGCTCCATCCCCTCGCCACAATCCACCATCTCTTCATTGGCTGCGGAGGTGCTGAAACCTGGGGGTCAGATTTTGTTCTATGAACATGTGCTCAGCGAGAGGGAGGATGTTATGTGGTGGCAGCGTTTTTAGACATCGTTGTGGGGTATTGTTTTTGATGGATGTCGTTTGGACCACCCATCTCATAGGATGTTGGGGGATGGGTGCAGGGAGAAGGAGGTATTTGGGGGAAGGAAGGGGAGGCTGGTGAACATCTATTTTGGCACCGAGTGGGGAGATTGGTTAAGGCGTGAGCAGATTCGTGACATTCCTTCTCCATAGGCTTTGTCCTTCATAATCAACGTGGATCATTTTGACCAATCAAAATGACCGCCACGTGCGTGTTATTATGTTGGGGCTCAGCTATTTATTTCCTTCATCGTCACCAATAACAGCCGGCTCCTCCGCACGTCGAGGAGCCAACTTTTGGCTATATGGGTGTTCGAACGCCTCCCTAAATCCTGCGAGGCCCATTAGGTGTTCAAGGGCGAAGTATTTCCAATGCATGCCTATTTCACATACCGATTTAACATCTCTTGATCAATAACAGATGCTGGCAGGTCGTGTTCATGAAGTGATACTGCGCCACAAAATTAACCGAGAATTTGGGATCTCTCATCAACTTCTTTGGATTCGACTAGGAACTATCGGTCTACTATCAGTACTTGCGGACCTTGACTCGAAATGTCCGACAATAGTGCTGCGCTAGCTTAAATAACGAGCTTCAATCTCGTCTTCTTGATCCCAAAGTTCACCTTTCTTTTCTATCTCCCTAGGAAGGCCCCATCATGGCCGATAATCTTGACGCCACTGCGTCAGTGACAGACACAACTCCTGGCAACTCTGGCTTGTCCGCCGACCTCAAGTTCACCCCACACGCAGTTTGCTCCACTATTGTCAGCGAACACATCCATACTCTAGGTGTCAAGTGCGTTAGATCTCCGGTTCCAGCTACCATTATCCGTGCTGAACTCAATCAGAAAGGCACTAGGAATTGACCACAGGGACAACCGGGTCATACGTATCATCTTGCTCAGAAAGCTTGATCCAATCACGACGCTGAGCGACAAAGAGTTTCTCCTCGCATGATGGGAAGTCGTCAAGTGCAAGTGTCATCATGTCCTTTTCTTGTTCTCTATCATTCACCCATTACTCCGACAGGCCATCGCGCCCTCTGGAAGAGAGGCGTGCATCACCGCAACGTCAGCCCCAGTAACATTATGGGATACCGCTTCGGTGGTCGATTTATCAGCGTCCTTAACGATTTCGACTTGTCATCGATCATACAATCAGTATCCTCAATTCAAGACGCTCCCCAAGGCTTCGAGCGCACAGGAACGGTACCCTTCATGTCGCTACTCCTTCTCACGTGGAAAGCCATTGCAGGCCAAGTCGAGCAGTTGTACTATCATGATGCTGAATCGTTCATTTGAGTCCTCACTTGGATTTGTCTTCGATATGAAAATGGTGAACTCCTCAAGATGAATGGTTGACAGTGGACGCCAGGGGGCGCCATGGGAAAAAAGCAAGCTATCTAGCAACGGCGGATGAAATATG